ATTCTTCCAGTCTGATGCATACAATTAAAGAATGTCCAGGTTGAAAACTATAAAATAATATTTATACAATTAATAAACAAGATGCACTGCATTGAACAGACATCACTATGAAATGATCCAATAGTATTTTGAATTTAAGTGACTGTAAAGGAAAAATGAAAGGGGATATAGGATGAAATGAAACCTAAGAATCTCAGGCGTTGAACGATTCATATAAGACATCTATCTGATGTTTCTGTCTCCAGAAATTGATATGAAACTGTGTCAAATTTATACGAAAATTCATATATATACAATTTTGTATAAAAGTAGTAGATATAAACAGATTATATTCAGCAAATACGCAACCAATCTGAAAATGATTATATCCCGCAGGAGTCTGAGAATCTTAGGTTTGCTCCTATTATAACTTTTTTATTTGCAGTTTGCATTTTTAATAGATATAATTGATAATATTATAACATATAGTCCGTATAGTCTGTATTACGTTTACAGAACATCAGCCAATGGCAGTGCAGTATACTGGTCATGTGATTTTTGTCTGTATTACGTGACAACAATACTGCAGTGCCATTGGCTGAAGTTCCACTGTTTCACTACCACTGTTAGCGCATTCCAAAAACTTTAAATTTAGTTTTCTGAAATTTTTAATTTGGTTTTTATATTCTAAATCTCATCACCAAATAAATTTCGGATTTAACTTTTCATTATGAAAATTGAATTTTTAGAGCTTGTTTTCATCAATACTGCATTTTAAAATGTATTAATTAGGTAGTATATAAAGAATTTAAAAAATAATTAATAGTCAGGCTGAATTTCTAAGTGAGCTTGCATTTCTGGATCAAAGGTGGAGATGGGATCTGGTTTATTGGACTTACAGACATCGGTAGGATAAGGAAATAAGAAAAAAATATGTTTTTTTTTTATTTAAAATTTCAGTTTTCAGGAGTTGAAGGTTATTGAAGCTGGATACACAACAAAAAAACATTACAGATTTTTTTCTGGGGAACTGGATTTCCAAACAATAGATCGGAAAATTTAGATGATTGTAGAATTCTTGTTCTGTAAACAGAACAATTTTTCTTGAAATGATATTGTATGTCTTGATTCAAACATTTCCAATCATTCTATTGCACCCCATGTCAGGATGATACCGGGTATCAAGGATTTAATGCAAGAAAAGTTATTTCAGAAGTGTACGCATCTTTTGTACTGCAGTGTCCTGTCACTGGGCGGAAATGTAAACACAAGACAGATGTTACAGCCTGACATGGGATCCATCTTTCACATAAAAAAATCAATGAAATATTCTGGTCATAGGAAACTATTATGTGAATTATCAAAATTATCAAAATTAAATGCTTTTATCCTCCACGGATACTAGAAGAACACTGATGCATCTATTCTTGTTTACAAATTCCGCCCAGAGAGAATTAGTTTCAATATGTACGCAGAATATACGCAACTGTAATTAACTATCCTTGCATTACATCCTTGCCGGATATAAAGAATCAAGTAGTAAAACACTGTACGGTTGCCCCTATGAATGGACTGAATATGAGAGAAGCTGATACCGCCATTTTTAGGAGGCATTGGATGAATACAGAAAATCAATTCATTCATTCATTCTATTCAGGAAAATAATTTCCTAATCTCCATTGCTGGTAATTTAAGCTTTTGGATTGGAGCTTTTTATCCTAAGTCAGAGGATTTATTTTGGTCTGACTTCTTAGAAAAGAATTTTACTAACTTATCTAACTCGGATACCGGTTGCCTGTATCAGTATAGTAGTTTTGGTTTTAGTTCTTAATCAGAGTTGACTTTTATTTGCAAGAAATTAAATAAAGTATAATTTTTCCATCAATTCCATTCAATTTAGTGTTGCATAAATTTTAGCACTGTCACGTTTATTTTTATAATCTATTATCGGCTTACTGAAAACAATGCCTTATTTTCTTTTTTTTATCTTAAGTTATCATTTGCATAGACACTATAAACTAACGGAAAAGTAAACACTATTCAGTTAAAAAAGAAAATAAATACTCGCCAAAATTCCTATATCGTTGCAACCTAATGTCGTAACAACCTTACACAAAATATTTTTTATGCAATAAAAAAACTTTCACAACCGAGCAAGAACACAAGAATAAAGATAAAACCAAGAAAATGAACCCGAAAAGGAGAATGGACAGTGCGCCCATAATAGTTTCGGTTTGTTTTATTAAAGCTTTTGATAAAACTTTCAAGATTTCAAAAATGTTTCAAGTTAAAGTTTGCTTTTATTAAACCTTTCCCGATTATTAGGCTATTTTTGTCTTATATAGATGGGGGGGGGGGGGTGTTCCCCCCATGATTTTGCCTGTAGAGCTAAGATATGGGAGTGTGGTATATGTCCCTATAGTCCAACTTTTCAAGTCCTGCACATGAAAAAATAGACCTCTAACTTTAATGGTTATGGTGCAAGGGAGAATTAAAAAAAGTTTTAAAAGTACATAACATTTTTTTTCAAAAATAATTATTTTTACTTTTGACAAATATTGTCATGTGACACATCCGCTTTTTCAAGGGCTTTTCAAATATATAAACAAAATAAAAAGTTATTAGCCATTTCTGACTTTTTTGAAACACCGATCCGTCGTTTGACTGTCCTCTACCCTACCCTATGCATAAAAAAATGGCGAAATTTGTTCACAACTTTGATGTTGAAAAAGGTATGAATCAGAGATATGTGTCAAAATGCAATTTTCCTTTGTCTACAAGGGATTAGAATGCGTAGATCTAAAAGAGAAGAATAGAAAACAGATGTGTAACCAGATAAAAAAAGATTCAATCCAGAGTTCAGAAAAAATTAAAATGCAAGAGTATACAGAGTGCAGAAAAAAAGAAAGCAAGATACTCAGCAATTTCAAATTGATGGCTCAGAAAAAAGCAAGATCATTTAAAAATAGTTCTTACTTCTAACACGGCAAACTACAAGGACATCCAACAAAATTCTTTCTTTTTATTTTCAAAATTAGCTGAAGTATGAAATATAAAAGTCTCAAATATTTCCATCTGATATCATATAAATATTTAAAAATAGTGTAAAATTTAAAAAAAATAAATCATTAAAGTTAAAATGATGTTGAAAAAGTAAAGGTCATTGGAGTTGAATAAAACAACAACAAAACAAATATTCCAGATTCTTTCTGGGGAACTGGATTTCCAAACAATAGATCAGAAAATTTTTATGATTTAAAAAAACTAACTTACTTGATTTATTTCTTTATAAGGAAGTTCAGCGTATAGGTTCATTTGACATTATGTTTACATACAAGGGAGACTTGAGTCCAGGTATTTTATATCATTAAGACGATAAAAAACGTATCAAACTAAGGTAGGACGGCTCTATACAAATTTTTCAGAAATGCTCTTTTTTTGAATAGATATATATTAAACTAAGAAAAATCCAAAAAAAATATTGCGACCAATATTTAGCCTGCTGCCAGAAAAATCGTGATTTTTTTTGCCATTTTTTTTTTTTTTTTAAACTTTCTTAAAGTCCTAAATTGTTGAGCGAGAATGATGTTTTATATCATTTGAAAATCCCAAGTTATTGGCTAAAAGACAAAACATAGATCTAAATATTTTGAAAATTTACAGTTTTATTAGCAGAGGAATTGAGTCTTTGTCACAAACTCTGATTTTTTTATCACTATATCTTTGGAACCAAATCTTGTAAACTTTAGATATTTCAAACTATGAATTCTGTAAGATCAAATAATCTGAGTTTGAAATATCAAAGGTTTACAACATCAGGTTCTAAAGATATTGTGGTTTAAATAGTTGAGTTTGTGGCCAAGACTCAATTCCTTTAGCGCCAAAATCATCGATTTTATTAATGCGCACTTGCACCTTAATAGCATACCCTTAGAAATTTTGTTTTGTTTTGGTTTCTTATGGCTATTGGCTATCCTTGTTCTAAAATGTCCTTAATTTTAGAAATAATTTCAAAATGGTTGATTTTTTAAACACTTCAAAAACTCCGTTTTTTCAAACTATCTTTAATTTTGACGTTTTAGAATAGTTTACTTTAGTTTATTACTTTAAAATTTTTAAAAATTAGTTATTTCTTATGGTGTTGAATACTAAAGCATAGAACTTATCGAAGAAAGATATTTGTTAGTGAGTGTTATTGTTAGCGCATAGTAACAAATTGTGATTGTAGTTGGTGTTATCTTTTAGCACATGGCCTGGAATTTCCAAAATGATATAAAACATTATTTTCAGTCAACAACTAAGGCTTTTACGAAAGTTTTAGGGAAAAAAATCAAAAATGATCAAAAATCACGGTTATTTTTCTGGCGGCAGGCTAAAAATTTGTCACAAAAAATTTATTTTGGATTTTTATTAGTTTCATATATAATTATTCAAAAGAAAAAGAGCACTCCAGAGCAATTTTTTAGGGACGACCTAAGCTCAGGTTGTTAATTTTTAGGGAAAAATATTTTCTGAATAATTTCAGAAATGTGATCTTTCCTTTCAGTAAGAATTTTAACTTTCCTAATTTCCAATTTCGAAATTGGACAGATGAAAAAAAGATTAAAAAGGCTGGGTGTCTGTCATTCATTTTTCATAAAGATAAAGTATTATATTCAAAACAATTCCAAACTTTTTCTGAATGAATTGTTCAATGTAGACAATTCTTATCTCAAGGTTTCTGAAAAACTAGTTAAAGGGACTGTAAACGTATTTTTAGTGACTCTCCATTTACAGTGTGGCATTTCCGATTCTGAACGATAGCCTTTCAGCCTGCATGTTTTTATTCAAAAATGAATGAAATATCCTGACTTTGTATTTATTAGCTGAATAAATGATTATTTTCAATTGTGGTTTTTTCATAATTGTGACAAGTTCCCAGAGGGAATTTAGTGAAAATATTTAGAAAAAAGTACTCTAGTTTAAAAGGTACTGTTGTGAATCGAACTTTTTTAAAAGTTGAGTGTCATTTTAAATTACACTTGCAGTCCCTTTCTAGAATATATAAATACTGAGATAGTAGTTCTTTAAATAGTTAGATTCATTCCTTCAAGATGATGCGTCTAATCTCTCTAGCTTTTCTAAGGTAAGGCTGTTCTTTCGTTCCTTTCATAAATAAAGTATTGTATTAGACAGTTTTCACATTTTTGAAAAAATGACCTAAAGCGTTTTTGCAAAGAGATAACATATTTATGGAAAACGAAACAATAGCAATTGTTTTCAAGAAAGAGTATTTCCATAGATATTATTTCCAAACATGTTTCCTTCGTTAATTAAATTATTTCGGTTTGTTAACAAAGGTTAATAAAAAGATCTGTCGATATAATTCCAAGTTTCACTGTACTGTCATGTCTAATTTAGAATAATAAATGAATTTGAAAATCGCGGCACCCAGAAAGAGAAGGACATTGTACATGTATTTTACAAAGTATTTAAAATTTTTCTAAAACAAATATATGTCATCAGACCTAGTCTCTCTTTTGAAGTGAATTCATTTGATAAATTATTAATTGATTAGAACAAAATGATATTTTAAATGCTTGTGAATAAGAATTTTTGTGTAAATTAATTTTGTAATGTCTGTCTAGCTGACAGTAAGTATCTAAAAAACCAAATTGACTATTTTCTTTTTATGGAAACACTAGGCTTTCAGGGCCTGATCGGTTCAGCCGTTTTAACGTTTATTAGATACAAACAAACAGAAAAACAGATAGACAAGAAAAGTATATATAAAGATTATATCATTAAGGCACAAATAATTATTTTCTAACAATGTTCACTATTAAGCTTGGTTTCAGTGACCAAAAGTCAGATTTCAGAGGAGTGCCCAGGCAAGGAAAAAAATTTATTTTGAAAAATATATAAATGTAAATTGTCCAAACTGGCAAAAAAAGGTTTTACTCTCACAGGTAGAAAAACTCGGGGTTGGAAATTAACTGCGATATATTTTATATCCTCTTCAGTCCTACAGAAAATGACCAAAATTATTACAAATTAAAGATAAAGATAATTTAACAAATAACTTTCTAGAAATTTATAAAAAAGTAAGCAAATTAAGGGAGGTTTTTTTTTTGAAGTGGAATAAAAAATGAAAATTTTAAAAACTATGGTCAACCTGAAAGAATGGTGGTGTTGTCAAAACTGAAAGAAATGTTCATTGAATTAAGGGTTGGCGGGTTAAAAATATTTATTTTTATTTTTATCTTGCTTACTGTAATTTTAGCTGGTTGGATTGATGGTAATTTTCTGGGATGCTACAAGTTTCTTGACGCCAAGATAAACATGTCCTGGGTTGAGGCTCAGCATGAATGTGAAGTGGTTGGAGGATATCTTGCTGAACCTGTAACAACTGGGTAATAACCTTTCTTTAACAAATTTATTGTAAGTTAATTTTACACTTTGCACTTTGCAGACAAGCTGAATTTCTAGCAGAGCTTGCAGCATTGGATCAAAGCTTTACAGGAATAGGATATTGGTTTTTGGGTCTTACAGATTTAGGTGAGAAGGAGAAAGAAAAATTATTTTTTGAGACTGATATGATTTTTCTATTAGTTTAAAACTTAAAAAAACTGTGAAATAATAGAGTTAAAATCCTTGACTTCTTGTTGGGCTTGAAATTTGTGGGAATCGCTTAATAAAATGATGTTCTGCTAATAAAATCAATTTATTGAGGATTTGAGGGGGAATGGAGCTGGATGCATAATGGTGGAGATCTAGAAGATTCCTTCTGGGCTGCAAACCATCCAAGTAACAAAACAGGAAATAAGAATGATTGCGCAGTTCTTGTTCTAAGGAATAATGGATTTACCTGGGAGGATCATGATTGTTTAGCTCCTCAGATATCAAACCATGTTGTTGCTCCAGCATGCCAATATGATACAGCAGCTCCATCTACAACAGTAGCACCTGAAACAACAACAGCTTTTAGTTGTCCTTCTGGTTGGTCTGAATTTGATGGAAGCTGCTATAGATATTTCTCACAAAGTCAAACTTGGATATTTGCTGAAAAGCTGTGCAGAGATGAAGGAGCATCTTTAGTCTCAATTCATTCCTCTGAAGAAAACAGTTTTGTTCTCGACTTAACGTCTCGTTCAAATTGTTGGATTGGTGCCTACAAAACTGGAAGTAATGATTTTTTCTGGTCAGATTTTACTGAGAATGACTTTTATGATTTTTATGATTCTGATACTGGTTGCATGTATCAGTACGGTAGTTATGGTTGGACCGGTACAAATTGCCATTCTTCAAGCTATACGTTTCCCTTTGTATGTAAAAAATGAGTAACTTTGGCTATGTATTAAATAAAAAATTTCTCTATCTGTGTTCAAATTAATTGTTGACTCAGGAGAATTAAAAGGCTTTTTTTAAAACTAAATTTCATTAAAAGTGGAGTAACTTAAAAAATATGGATAAAAAATAAATAGCTTGATTTTTTAAATTGGAAATTTTTGTAAATAATGGATTAATCATAATATCATATTTCATTCTTTATAGGGACTGTAAACAGCGTTCTGGATTTCAAAGTAAAATTGAGAAAATATAAATAATTGACTTTTAACTAGAGAAAATTGATTCTATTTTAAATTCTTTCTTTCTATTAAACCAGAACAACCTAATCACCATGATATGCTTGAAATTAGTCTAAAATTACAGATAGCAGGTAAATAACATTTTTTACACTATGCTATCCTTGTCTCTACCATAGAATATGTTGAGGGTGTTGATAAAAACTACATTGTTAACGTTTGATTAGAAAGTTTCAAAAATTTTTAATAAAAAGATAGAGATCTCATATTTGAGCCATGGGAAGAAGATCGTTTTCCACAGATACAATAGTTTTATATATCTACAGATACAATAGTTTTATATATCTGACTTTACAAAGTGACTTTACTGTTGACTATTTCAATATCTATATTTAGTGCGTTTTCATTGATCCATAAATGCATACAAATTACAGACACAGTTAACACTATATGTTTATTAAAGTCCAAAATAAATTAATTGTTTTAAAATATCTGTCGTTTAATATTCTTGCATAATAATGTATTTGTGAAAAACGCTTCCAGAAATATTCGTTAGAAAATTTTGTCACATCACATCTGATTGATCAATGTCGCATGTTGAACAGAATGAAATTAGAATGAACAAATACCGTACTGCAGTCCATACCCAATATTATAAGAATATGGACGGTAACATAAACAAACTCTTTAATTGTTCTATATTACACAGAAATAAAACAATGAGACATGCATTGAGACATCTCTTTTCCTGGTTTAAAAATATTGTGCATGTTCACTATATGTTTAATGTTTATGTGTTATACAAAAGAGACATTGGAACATTTATAGATTTATTGTTATTTATTGTTAAATTAAGTTATACTCATACTGTACAGGGGGTTTAAGCCCCTGATTTTACAGTACATAGTATGCATAAATGAGACACGACTTACGATTTTAGTGCTTTGTCAGGTGGGAAAATGCCTAAGCGGTTAAGAATGTGACAAATCCTCCCGTTTTCTGTATACAGATGAGTCCTTATAGGACGAAACACTGTGTCTCTGATAAAGAAATATTTATGCTTGTTTAGTCCGCTAAACTTGAGTACTCTGTGGTATATTGCATAGGTGTACTAATTAGCATTATGCAAGGCCCTCCGCTGAAATGGCTGAGCTCTCTGGTGCCCATTTCATTACACAATCATCAGGTGTATAAACCAAGTTCAATGATGCGTAGATGAAGCAGGAACCGAGTTTAAACCAGGAAGATTATCTGAATTGTACTTAAAGAAGGGAGTTGGAGAATATACTTCAGTCCCGCATACCATCTAGCGGGGTTCACATACACTTTATATTCAGCAATGTTTTTATCAATTGGAATAAAATATACATTAATAATAGTATTTTTAGTTGTGCTAGTCGTGCTAGTTATGCATTTAGGTACCTGCCCACCTACCAGACTTTTGTCCTATATATGGAGGTACATGTACACCGAGTATGACAATGCCAAATAGAGCAAATAAAATACTTTTAAAAAAATTAATTTTCATATATTTTGTTATTAATTGATAAATATAAATCATCAGCCATTTTCAATCTATATATAAAGTGTGTGCAGGACCTTGTATAATGTAATATGTAGAACTGTTAACACAAATTCGAAATATAAGGAAGACGATTTTACCAACTCAAATGCCGTAGCCTTTTCTCAAGATGTGTTTATCCATTTCCTCCATGTAGCACCCACATGTCAAACCCCGCTCATCCGTTTCCCGCCTCACCCCTCTATAACACATCCCAAGCTATAGATATTTCTCACAAAGTCAAACTTGGATATTTGCTGAAAAGCTGTGCAGAGATGAAGGAGCATCTTTAGTCTCAATTCATTCCTCTGAAGAAAACAGTTTTGTTCTCGACTTAACGTCTCGTTCAAATTGTTGGATTGGTGCCTACAAAACTGGAAGTAATGATTTTTTCTGGTCAGATTTTACTGAGAATGACTTTTATGATTTTTATGATTCTGATACTGGTTGCATGTATCAGTACGGTAGTTATGGTTGGACCGGTACAAATTGCCATTCTTCAAGCTATACGTTTCCCTTTGTATGTAAAAAATGAGTAACTTTGGCTATGTATTAAATAAAAAATTTCTCTATCTGTGTTCAAATTAATTGTTGACTCAGGAGAATTAAAAGGCTTTTTTTAAAACTAAATTTCATTAAAAGTGGAGTAACTTAAAAAATATGGATAAAAAATAAATAGCTTGATTTTTTAAATTGGAAATTTTTGTAAATAATGGATTAATCATAATATCATATTTCATTCTTTATAGGGACTGTAAACAGCGTTCTGGATTTCAAAGTAAAATTGAGAAAATATAAATAATTGACTTTTAACTAGAGAAAATTGATTCTATTTTAAATTCTTTCTTTCTATTAAACCAGAACAACCTAATCACCATGATATGCTTGAAATTAGTCTAAAATTACAGATAGCAGGTAAATAACATTTTTTACACTATGCTATCCTTGTCTCTACCATAGAATATGTTGAGGGTGTTGATAAAAACTACATTGTTAACGTTAGATTGTAGTTGGTGTTATTTTTTAGCCCATGGCCTGGGATTTCCAAAATTATATAAAACATCATTTTCAGTCAACAACTAAGGCTTTTACGAAAGTTTTAGGAAAAAAATCAAAAATGTATAAAAATGGCCATAAAATCACTTTTTTTTTCTGGCGGCTAAAAATTTATCACAAAAAATATATTTTGGATTTTTATTTTTCATATATAATTATTCAAAAGAAAAAGAGCACTTCAGAGCAATTTTTGTAGGGCCGCCCTAAACTCAGGTCCTTAATTTTTAGGGCAAAATATTTCTGAATAATTTCAGAAATGTGATCTTTCCTTTTAGTAAGAATTTTAACTTTCCTAATTTCTAATTTCGAAATTGGACTGATGAAAAAAAGATTACAAAGGCTGGGTGTCTGTCATAAATTTTTCAAAAAGATAAAGTATTATATTCAAAACAATTTCAAACTTTTTTTCTGGATAATAAATTGTTTAATGTAGACAATTCTTATCTCAAGGTTTGTGAAAAATTCGTTAATGGGACTGTAAGCATATCTTCAGTGATTCTCCATTTAAAGGGTAGCATTTCTGATTCTGAACAATATCCTTTCAGCCTGCATGTTTTTATTCAAAAATTAATAAAATATCCTGACTTTGTATTTATTAGCTGAATAAATGATTATTTTCAATTGTGGGGTTTTTTCATGATTGTGACAATGTCCCAGAGAGAATTTAGTGAAAATGTTTAGAAAAAAGTACTCTAGTTTAAAAGGTACTGTTGTGAATCGAACTTTTTTAAAAGTTAAGTGTCATTTTAAATAACACTTGCAGTCCCTTTCTAGAATATATAAATACTGAGATAGTAGTTCTTTAAATAGTTAGATTCATTCCTTCAAGATGATGCGTCTAATCTCTCTAGCTTTTCTAAGGTAAGGCTGTTCTTTCATTCCTTTCGTTGATAAAGTATAGATATTGTATAAGACAGTTTTCACATTTTTGAAAAAACGACCTAAAGCGCTTTTGCACAGAGATAACATATTTATGGAAAACGAAACAATAGCAATTGTTTTCAAGAAAGAGTATTTCCATAGATATTATTTCCAAACATGTTTCGTTCGTTAATTAAATTATTTCGGTTTGTTAACAAAGGTTAATAAAAAGATCTGTCGATATAATTCCAAGTTTCACTGTACTGTCATGTCTAATTTAGAATAATAAATTAATTTGAAAATCGCGGCACCCAGAAAGAGAAGGACATTGTACATGTATTTTACAAAGTATTTAAAATTTTTCTAAAACAAATATATGTTATCAGACCTAGTCTCTCTTTCGAAGTAAATTCATTTGATAAATTGTTAATTGATTAGAACAAAATGATATTTTAAATGCTTGTGAATAAGAATTTTTGTGTAAAATTTAGTTCTGTAACGTCTGTTTATAGCTGACAGTGTCTATCTAGAAAAACCAAATCGACTATTTTCTTTTTTTAGAAACCTAGGCCTTCAGGGCCTGATCGGTTCAGCCGTTTAGACATTAATTGGATAAAAACAAACAGACAGACAAGAAAAGTATATATATAGATTATATAATTAAGGCACAAATAATTATTTTCTAACTGTTGTCTACTTTTAAGCTTGGTGTCAGTGACCAAAAGTCAGATTTCAGAGGAATGCCCAGGCAAGAAAAAAAATTAGAATTTTCAAAAACATATATTTTGATTTCTATCTTGCTAACTGTAATTTTAGCTGGTTGGATTGATGGTAATTTTCTGGGATGCTACAAGTTTCTTGACGCCAAGATAAACATGTCCTGGGTTGAGGCTCAGCATGAATGTGAAGTGGTTGGAGGATACCTTGCTGAACCTGTAACAACTGGGTAATAACCTTTCTTTGACAAATTTATTGTAAGTTAATTTTATACTTTGCACTTTGCAGACAAGCTGAATTTCTAGCAGAACTTGCAGTATTGGATCAAAGCTTTACAGGAATAGGATATTGGTTTTTGGGTCTTACTGATTTAGGTGAGAAGGAAAAATAGTTTTTGAGACTGAAATGATTTGTTATATTAGTTTAAAACTAATAAAAGCTGTGAGCTAATTGAGTTAAAATCCTTGACTTCTTATTGGGCTTGTAATTTGTGGAAATCGCTTAATAAAATGATGTTCTGCTAATTAATAAAATCAATTTATTGAGGATTTGAGGGGGAATGGAGCTGGATGCATAATGGTAGAGATCTAGAAGATTCCTTCTGGGCTGCAAACCATCCAAGTAACAAAACAGGAAATAAGAATGATTGTGCAGTTCTTGTTCTAAGGAATAATGGATTTACCTGGGAGGATCATGATTGTTTAGCTCCTCAGATATCAAACCATGTTGTTGCTCCAGCATGCCAATATGATACAGCAGCTTCATCTACAACAGTAGCACCTGAAACAACAACAGCTTTTAGCTGTCCTTCTGGTTGGTCTGAATTTGATGGAAGCTGCTATCAATATTTCTCACAAAGTCAATATTGGATCACCGCTGAAAAGCTGTGCAGAGATGAAGGAGCATCTTTAGTCTCAATTCATTCCTCCGAGGAAAACAGTTTTGTTCTCAACTTAGCGTCAGCTACAAGATATTGGATTGGTGCTTACAGAACTGGAAGTAATGATTTTTTCTGGTCAGATTTTACTGAGAATGACTTTTCATCCTTTTATAATTCTGATAACGGTTGCATATTTCAGTACGATAGTTATGGTTGGACCGGTGCAAATTTCCATTCAAGCTCTACGTTTCCCTTTTTATGTAAAAAATGAGTAACTTCGGCTATGTATTAAATAAAAAATTTCTCTATCCATGGTGTTCAAATTAATAGGATGTCAAGTTTTTAATGATAAGACAAACGGCGCAATGCAAAACCTTTTAATCAATCTTGAGCAAAACAAAACATAGAAAGACTTCGATAACAAACTGGAAACAGGCTTACTGAGATCTATTGTTTTGTTTTGTTTGGGTGAGAGCTCACACATACAAGACGAGGGAAGAAAAGTGTATTCCACTGATTTATAGAATTATAATGTTGATGGGTATCATCGGGCATATGCATGATTTTACAAAGGGTCTTGATTCGTTGAATAATTTCTATATATATTTATCCATAAATACACCCTGAAACAGTACGCTGGGTATGTTTTGATGGTCCAAAATTAACGAATTGTTATAAAATAAAAATTGAGAAAAAGAACAATTGAATGCTTTCTGAAATAAATCACTTGGGAATTTTTATTTCTTCCGTCTTGTGAAATTGCAGGGTTTAAATTTGTTTTTGAACCGTCGTACAGCAAAAAGGAACATTGAGACCAAATGAAATTATATATAAAATATGGCTAGGTTTAGAAAAAGCTAATTGTACTCATCCTCAAGCTAGCAGGGGTTTATTTTTTTGAATTTTAGTTCTGTGATGACTGCAGATTTTCATACTCAACGTTTCTTGATCTCTCCCTGTATCAAAAATAAGTATTGGCTATCTGAGAGGCATTTGCTATTTTCTGTTGTGCGCAAATGCCCCGTAAAATTCCAAAACAGAGAGAGGGGGATTGAATTTTGTAGATTCAGAAAATAATATCCGTGGGATGCCTGCGTAGAGACTGGCAGCTGGTGGGGTCTTAAATGTAAGACATGTGGCCGCAGCGCTCGGCCCCCAGGCCTGTCCTAGCCACAGCGCTCGGCCCAGAAATGAGCTTAACCTAACCTAACCTTAAATATACACTAATTTTATTAAAAATNCCCCCTCTCTCTGTTTTGGAATTTTACGGGGCATTTGCGCACAACAGAAAATGGCAAATCCCTATCTAAGACTAAAAAAATTTCAGTAATACATCTGTTTATAGTTCAACTCAAATCTTGCCATCTTATTTACCTCCAGTTTTTTGGTTTTAATGCAAATAGCATTTAGGGAAAATAAAACATAAAGCAAAACAGGCAAAATATCTATCTCAATAAACTAAAATTTGCAGGAAGTTTTTATTGTTTTTAAGTCTTTAGTTACTTATTTTGAACCTTTTAAAGTTTTCCAGGTCCAAAAAAGTGGTTTATATTATATAGAAATGAGACATTCGTTGTGACACCTCTTTTCCTGGTTCAAAAATTGTACATATTGACTATGTATGCGCATGTAATATACAAATGAGATATTGGGACATTATTACATCACTATTTATTGCTAAATTAAGTTATACTCATACAAACAGGGGGTTTTAGCGCTTGATTTTATAGTACATAGTATGCATAAATGAGACGTGATTTACCATTTTAGTGCTTTGTCAGGTGGGAAAATGCCTTAGCGGTTAAAAACGTGGCAAACCCTCCTGTTTTCTATAATTTATACATATATATTCATATGCTACTATGCTATGCTGTCTATTAATATTTACTTTCTAGTCGTTGCTGAAAAAAACGTAACTTTAGCGCGTAAAATATTCAGTAAAGTTAAGTAACGCTTCAGCTGTACTGATTTCATACTGTACCATGCGTACACCTGGTTTTACAGTAATTAAAACGGCTTTCGATAGATTTACCCATACGGATCTCTGTACTCGATGAACAGAAAAAGGTTTTAAATCGTGCATTGCCCCCTGTGCGTGGAGGGTCACTAGATTAATTCTTATAGTCCCTTTCAATGCACTCATCTGAAGTATTAACGGGACACACAAAAGTAGCTCATTGGCCTAGTATTTTTTCTTTACGTTCCTTTAGCTTTTGGTGTAGAAACCTTTCTGCAGATAATCCACATAACGTTTAGTCAAAAACGATTAGCAAGCCCTGGTCAACGAATCTAGCTACCTTACTAATGAATACCGATATGTGGTTTACAATACTTTAATTGATATATTGCTACAGGTTGTACTAATAAATATGTGATTAAAGGGACTGTAAGCGTAATTTCGAGTGAGTCTGGAGGAAGAGGACAGTCTAAGAGACGGTCAGAATTAACCACGCTGTTTTGTTCGAAAAATCGAAATGTCCTCGGTAATCAAGGGCGATCAAATTTCTTGTGAAACTGCATGAGCATGAGCATGATTAAAAATGTTATGTATGAATTAAAAAAAACGTAAAAAAGGGCCTTCCATGAGTTCATTGTTTTAAACTCTGAATTTATATATTTAATAACTTTTTATTCTGTTTTAATCATTATCTACTTCACACTATTTTCTTTCTCTGTGCAGAATTCACAGTTTCTTTATGTGCGTTAAGAATTTTTTGTGATTATATCCTTTATGAAGTCCATGTTTTCCGACCTACTGTTTTTCTTTGTGAAGTCCATGTTTTCCGACCTACTGTTTTTCTTTTATCATATTGAGGATTTAAGTACACTGAACAATTCCTTAAAAACATCAGTTATGAATTGCGTAACAGACAAAAAAGGAAAAGTAAAAAAAATGATTATCAAGCATTTGCCACAGAACGATATCTGAAAACATAAAGTTTAAACCAAGACATCTGAATGACCATGTTTACTGTGTATAGGCCCAAAAACATATGCTAAACCATTTTTTCAACGCAATACTTTTTTATCAGTGCAACACCTGGAAGTAAAATCTTATTATTCAGCATTTTTCCAATGTTCTACGCACTAAGTAAATAAACAAGTAATCATCTTATCTTGTCTTTAAAGGTATAAAGTAATTGCGTTTATATTTATATTAAGTAGTATGATCATGAAGTTTAAAAGTTTCCCAACTATAAGGTTAAAGTATTCTTATTTTTTAAATGATTAAATACCCCAGATTTATTGGGTCTGCACAGATTAGCATTNAGTTTCTATTCATTCTCAGGAGGAAAATGATTTTCTTCTATATCTCAAATTTGCCCATTTTTATTAGGGTCTCTATAGAAAGGTCTCCATGCAATGCACTGATGTCCTATAAAAGGTGTCCAATTAAGGGTCTCCAATGAATGGTTTCCAATGAAGGGTATTCTTAGGGTCTCCGATTAATGGTCTCCAATAAAGGATCCCCAATGAATTTCCTCCAATCAAGGGTCTCCAGTGAAGGGTCTCCATTGAAGGGTCTGAGGTGAACAAACTCCGCTGTTATATATTATGATGACTTTATTTGTAACAGACTTTTAATCAGACTTAGCCTTGAATTGAGAGGGGTTGCACCAAGTAATGAATTGTCCGTGCAATCTTACTGATTAGATTCCCAGCTGCACTAATTACAAGTTTCAAGGTTATTTTTACCACTTGATAATTTATATTCATCGTTTTCCTTTCACTTAGATGGGTGGATAGACGGAGACTCAATGGGATGTCACAAATTTTTGAATACAAAGATAAATATTTCTTGGATTGATGCTCAGTATGAATGTGAAGTTGTCGGTGGTTATCTTGCAGAACCCACTACAGCCGGGTAATATGAAATGTTGTTATATTAATATTAACGGTAAAATGCCATTTATATTAATATTAACGGTAAAAATAATAAATTGATGTTAGAAATCAGCAAGAAGTTGACCACTCCCCCCCTTGCATACTTGTATTGGCCATATTGCTCTCATTATTACTCTTACTATACACTACAGTTCCTACAGTACGCTTTTAGAAAAATTCTTGCCAGAAAACTCGATTGGTCATTTTTCACCAATCGAAAATTCCGATTTATTACCGCTAGGATTTTCATATCAATCCTTTAACTCTTTATCCTTTGTTTAAACTTGTGTAAAATAAATTAATTATGTGACGACTATATCCATCCTATATCCATCCTATATCCATCCTATATCCATCCTATATCCATCCTATAACCATTTATGGCGGTAGACGAAAATATCACTCTAGTATATGCACATTTCATCTACACCCAATATCCCCGCTTAAATTTTACAAATTCAAGAATGTGATTGCCAGGCATTTGACCAAGGAATTACAAGAAGAAAGAGATTATAGTATATATTCTAGGGTTAGGTTAGGTTAAGACACTTTCTGGGCGGAGCACTTCGGCTAGGAAAAGCTAGGGGGCCAAGCGCCGCGGCTAGAACAGGCTCTATCTCTGTCTTGTAACTCAACGCGGCATGTGCGCGTAACTTCCTTGGGCTCTGCCTGATCGCCAATAACCAAGAAAGTTGTTAAAAGTAAAGAACCGCAAAAGTTATTCAAAAATATTGAATTTTAAGAAACAAAAAACAACAAATTAATTTTTGTAACTAAAACTTAATTTGTTTAAAACTTTGCAGAAAAGCTGAATATCTGGGAAAACTTGCAGGTGTTGGCCTAAGTTTTACAGGAATAGGATACTGGTATATTGGACTTTCAGATATAGGTAAAAAATATTAAATTATATCATATATCATAGAACTTGTAGATTACTAGAAAAATGTTTCGCTTGGTGAGATATTCAAATTTGCTATTGTACATTATTTTTAAATCAAATGGGTATTCATTTCAACTTACTATTAATTTATTCAGGAGCTTGTCCGATTCACTACAGCGCCCTGAATAGCTTTGTCTGAATAAGATTAATAAGATGTTTATCTGTAACTTAAAAAAATATTTATTATCTGCCCCTCTTAAAATGAAGCTTCCAATAAGCTTTGTTTAATAGATATTTATTAATAATCATTCTGATACAGCCCAAACGCACTTGGCACTCAATGAAAAGTGTGAACAAATAAAATCACATTTAGAGCACGTTAGGAAAAATCTCAATGCAAAAGGAAAGATATATTGTCTTCCTCGGCATTAGTATAATATATTTAGGATTTGAACGACATTGGATGTGGATGCATTCAGGAGAAGAGCTGAAGGACTCTTTCTGGGGGGTGAACCAACCATCCAATAAGACAGGAAATAGAGAGGATTGTGGGGTTCTCGTCGTGAGAAACAACACTTTTATATGGGAGGACATGGACTGCTCTGATTCCTTAAATCTAGATAATGCTGTAGCACCAGTCTGTCAGCATGACAAGGAGATTTTATCAACATCAGTTTCTCCAGAGATAACCACAACAGTTTTATCAGATACGTCGACGGAATCAATTTGTCCTTTGGGTTGGACAGAGTTCCAGGGCAACTGTTATTCCTTCTTTTCCTACGAAACCAGTTGGATAAACGCTGAAATGTATTGCAGGGAAGAGAATTCTTCTTTAGTTTCTATTCATTCTCAGGAGGAAAATGATTTTCTTCTATCGTTAGCCGGAGAAGTAAATTTCTGGATCGGTGGTTATTGGAAAGGAGACCGGATGCGCTCTTCTGGACAGACTTTTCAGAGAATGACTTCTCAGATTTTTACAGTTCATACTACACTGGTTGCCTTTATCAATACAGAGGAAATGGGTGGTCTGGGAAAAATTGTCACAGTAACACGTTTACTTCAAGCTTTATTTGTAAAAATATAAAATGATAACTCTTGAAGACAGCATTTTCATTAAATTATTGTTTAAAAATTGAGACAAGTATTACCAATTCGATTTGTAGAGAAGAGAAACCATATCTCGCTCTTTTACACGCAGTTTTACGACCCTTAATAAAAACGAGAAAAAAATAGATTTTTACTCTCATTATTTCTAATTACAACCATGGTCAGTTGAAAATTATTCAGGATTACTCAAAAAGATGATGACCGAAATATACCGATAGAAATAAGTAAATATATATATATTTGGAGAGAATCAGCTCAGGAACATTTCTCTAATTTGTAAAACAGTATAGCTACACGATTTACAAACCTTCGCCTGAGAAAAATGATGAAGATGCCCTTGTTGTTCTAAAATGGATAATTTCCATGCAACTTGCGAAAAATTCTGCAGAAGAGTCAAAGAAGAAAAACATTAGAATCTAACCTTAAATCGGAAAACTCTTTAAACTCCCTGAATGGGGTGGTGGGAGAGGAGTGAAATTGAGTCTTTGCAACCTAAATCTTTGAAACCCAATGTCGTGGACCTTAAATATTTAAAACTATAAATTTCTGTTACATCAAATAACCTAAGTTTGAAATATCAAAGGTTTACACTATTAGGTTACAAAGATATTGGGATTTGAATATTTGAGCTTGTGTTAATTCTTTTGAAGTTTTTTCGTCACGTGTATAATGTGAAAACATCGCTCTCACAATATTTTTCATTTCATAAGATTTCAGATAATTTTCCGGACGATATCCTTTTGAAAATGTTTAAAATCCAGATCTTCAATCCATCATGGTAGCTCTTGCTTGTAAGATATCCAGTATTTGATTCAAACATTTAAGAAAAGAAAAGATCTTCATAAATTTAATAAAATCAAATGATTTATTTTTGTTTCCTATTTTATTCCCCCCCCCCTCCAACAATAAAATTTAAAACATAAACCATTATTACCCTCGCCCCCTGCAATCTGCACCTATAATATATTAAATCAAAATCAAAGATTAACATTTTCAATAAAAGAAGGTTAAGAGCTTACGGAATTTGAGATACAAGAATATATTCAGTCATTCAGTCATTCATTCTTTCATCCTTTCATTCATCCTTCCATCCATCCATCTACACATTTTAGTTTTACTTCATCCTTCTTTTATATTCGTCCTTCTCATCCTTCTCACCCTTCTTATTCATACTTCCCATTCTTCTTAAATGTGCATCCTTGTCATTTCTTTATTCATTTATAATTTCCGTCATTTTTCATATATTACTTCTTCTCTTCCTTCGTTTATATATACCTCCTCCTCTTCCTATCTTCATTTTTATCTTTCTTATCCTTCTCATTCTTCTTATATATTTATCCTTCTCCATCTTCTTATATATTCATCCTTCTCATTCTTCTTATATATTCATCCTTCTCATTCTTCTTATATATGCATCCTTCTCATTCTTCTTATATATTCATTCTTCTCATTCTTCTAATATCTTCATCCTTCTCATTCTTCTTATATATTAATCCTTCTCATTCTTCTTATATATTCATCCTACATCCTACATCCTACATCCTACATCCTACATCCTACATCCTACAACATCCTCCATCCTACATCCTACACCCTACATTCTACATCCTACATCCTTCTCATTCTTCTTATATATTCATCCTTCTCATTCTTCTTATATATTCACCCTTCTCATTCTTCTTATATATTCATCCTTCTAATCTTTGGTATACATATGAATATTGTGTAGAAGAAGTGGTAGGGAAGAAGAAAGACACTTCTCGATGAATACATCGTGAAAGAGAAAATTTTATCTTTAAAACTTGAATTTTAAGCACGTTTCTAAAAACCAATTTACCCTATGTTTGCGGTGCTTTAGATTTTCTCCAGAAAATGTTCGTCTTGTTAGGTTTACATTTAACCTTTATATATACTTTGCTTGTCTGGGTGTTTGTTTGTCTGTCTGTCCGTTTGTATCCAATAATCGTCGAAACGGCAAAACTGATCAGGCCTAAATTTTTTGTGGGACCTCGCGTGACCCTAGGGAAGGTGGATGATAGAATTTTCAAAAAGTGACTCTAACAAAATTCGAATTTTGAAAATTTTGAAAATCCACAAAATATTTTTTATAAAATCCTTGAAATTTTGTTTTGTTTTTATTTAACAATGCACAAGAGAACATGTTCACAATTAAAATAGAAGATGTATTCGAAGCGCCCCAAAAGCCTAGTACACAGATTTTAGATTGAACTTTGAAAATAAATTAATAAAAATGTTGAGCGGGCACTGTTTTGTTTACTTAAATCTGCATTAATCGTTTGGGTAAAAATTTTAACACAAAAATTAAAGAATGAAATATTTATTTAAATATTATATTTTCAGTGAATTTCATTGCTTTCTCAATTTTTTAACTATATATAAGTGCAAATAATACTCTCAAAAACAAATCCAAGATTTCATTGTTTATATAAAAAATCTGAAAATGTTATAATCCTCCATCTTCAAGCTCTGAGTTTATTTACAGCTACGCGGTAAAAAGTTTCTAAAATACAACTCATTAACTTGAGACCTATTTATCCCTCTGCAGCCAGGAAATATAAAGAAGGGAAAAAGTAATGAGATAAACTTAAATAAAATAATATATAATATACCAAAACTTTTTCAGCTTTAAATAAATCATAATTGCCTAATGGAAAAAAAAAACTCCCTTTCATGGTATCTCATTGTGACCCTAATTTATTAGTTAAGATATCGAAAGTTTGTCAAAAATGGGGTTTAAAAATCCCCCCATGCGAATCAAAGGAGTAAAATGGTTTATCAACATGATTAATCCAAGTTAAAAAAGTACTAAATTGGCCTAAAATATCCTAAACAGCCTATGCCCTATTTGTCAATTTCTTTGATTAACTTGAGCTGGGAACTTTAGAATGGGATACCATTAATCCCGACTGCTTAATCCGAATATCCCATGTGGCCACTTTTGATTTCCTGCTTAATCCATTCTTTTTTTGGAAAAAGTACAGAATAATCAAAAACCGGTTTTTTAAAATTAAGAGTCCTTCCCGTTTCTGTATATTAATCTGAAATGGCGCGCAAGATTTCAAATTTATCGGCTTCTGATACGCGACTTTGATTGGTTGAATTTTATACACTTTTCAGGATACAAGTACTAGATTAAGTTAGTCTCGATATTGAGAAAAAGAGAGGATCAAGCATTAATCTCGATATCCACCATTCTAAAGTTCCCAGCTCTGATCAAAATTTTGGATTGAAATCTTCAATAACTAGTCAATTAAATCTTGTTCATTGTTAATCAATGTGTGTCGCCACTTGAAAGTTTTAATTAAATTCAGAATACACAAACTAATCAACTATTTAAATTGTTAAGAACAAAGGAACAAATTATATAAAATGACCTATAAAATTTTAAGAAAAACGTTGAAATAACTGAAAAAAAGGATTAGAAAAAACTGAAGATATTTTTTTCACAATTTTTTTTGTTATCTCAGATTTAATTCTATGTTTAAAAAAAAATTTCTTTGATATTTGTTTACTTTGGTTTGTTTCTATTTTGTATTTATTGTTGGTTAGAGTATCTACATAAAAGCCAAGTTTAGTGAATACCAATATTGGAAAACATTATTTTTACAACCTTGAAAACAGCTTAGATCACATCAAACTAGAAAAACCTTCTTTTGGAAAATGTAAAAAGTTTGATTAGTTATTGTGCATCTTAGGCATTGAGGTTTGTGGATTATTCCATTTCTTTTCTTTCTAAATTGTAATATTTATTAGAAATCAAACATTTATATGTTATGGAGTTTCGGTAAAAAGGAGGCTTGTTTTTTTCTTTCTGAAAAATTGTACTGGGTCAGACCAATAGAGAATAGAATATATATTAGAGGGTAATTTACTAGAAAAAGATGTAAAACGGCCATTTTGTTGTACTGTTTCCATACTGCAGGTGTAATTCATACCGAGAGATTCTGTAAATTCCCCTCTAATATATATTCTATTCTTTATGGACTGGCCTAAGCATCTGCATTTATCTGACCGTTTCGAATTTTTTTTTACGTTCTACAATTAGGCCATATCATTTTGATGTTTTAATTTGACATTTTTGTCAATGTTCTTCTGTGTTAAAATGTGTGTTTTAATAATCGGGGTTCTTATACGGAATATAAATGTGTATATAACGTAAAAGTTATTTCTGGTTTACGTAAAACTTGCAACAAATGAAATTAGAAAGTTTCCAATGTTAGAACAAATACAAAAGTTAAAGCTTAAGTCCGGATTTACAAGTTTGAATTCCTATAATCCAATTATAGAGATTGCTCAAAAGTGAATTTATTTAAAGAAAAAATAGAATGAACACTTAAAAAAGATGATGGATATATTTTTGGAAGAGTAGCTTTAGAAAAGTATTTTAGAAAATGGCTAATTGAAAAGCATTTATTAGATAGTTTATTATACTCCCAGTAAACTAGAGAGAAGGTTCCCTCAAAAGACCACGTCAAACTAAAGAGAATTACGCGCTAGATTGAAATCCTCCTCTTATTGAAAAGCTATTGAGAAAAACTAAATTGTCTCGCTTTTCTAATATGTCATCTGATGAATTTTATGATTGTGCAAAAAACAAAAACAAGAGGAGTTTAGAGGTCTCATATTCGAAGCAGTAATGTCGCACAAGTTTGACCAATTTAACCTTTTCCTCCTGTCTAGTTTACAGGGAGTATATTTATGAACTGCTAGATCTGTTAACGATTTTAGATATCATGAATTTAATGATAGAATTTGTTTGTTTTTTGTTTACTGACAAGTGATATTCTTTATTTACGTATGTTCCTCGTTAAAATTATGTCTTCGTCTTAATTATTCTACCATTTTTTGTGTGCGAAATAGTATTCATTTGGGATACATAAAACGTTTTGATGATGGATAATTACTGAGTTTGAGCGCTAATCCAGCGTTACAAATCATTCATTTTGAGAATTGATTCTTTTAAAATTAATAAATAACGATGACAAAAATGTAAAAAAAATTATACAGTGAACTAAAAAGATGATTAGGAACATATTTCTAAACATAAATTTATCGATAAATTCAATGTAAAAATCAATCTTTTTATCATTATAATGAAGTTTTTACTCTGTACGAATTTGTTCGCATATTTCATCAAATTCTTCAAATGTCGTCTTTTCAATAAAAATGCCGGAAAATCTACAGAAAACATTTGTGAACAATGAGACATTACAGAAACAAAAAACCGAATAAGATTACTAATATTCGATAATAAGAGTCAATTTTTTTATTTTCTCAACCTGTTCCTGAACAGCTATTTGGTTTACTGTAGAATTTTTGTTAATTTTTTGTCGTCATTATTTAATAATTTAAATAAATCGATTCTCAGGACATAACCACCCACATGAATGATTTTAAGCGTTGAATTTGCCCTTAAACTCAGTAATTATACATCATTAAAACGTTTTATATGTCTCAAATTAATCCAAAAATGTTCTCCACGGTGCTACATTCTTTGTTCAACTACCACACAATGCCGGTCACTCCCTTTAACTAAACTTTAGGTGCAGCAGTAATCTTCAGAATACTGACCCAAGTTTTGGTGGAGTCTCTTATAGATCCATATATTCATTAAACGTTCAAACTTCATCTGCTTTGTTTGTACTGTAGTAACTGAGTTACAAATCTATCTAGTTTGGAGTGACTATTACAAACGCACTTCATTATTGGAACACATTCAGGACACGCATTCAGGAAACATATTAAGGACACGAATTTAGGACACATATTTAGGACACACATTCAGGACTACTAAGAATATTATTATACAGTAATAACCAGAAAACTCTGAAATATTATTATTATATTATAAAGGTTTATTCACACACAAAGATATAAATACATATATAAATGGTGTAGTTTAAATTTGTTTAAATAAATTTTTTTTTGAAAATACAGGTTTCCAAAAGAAAAGAGAAAAAATATGCAAAATTATGAAGTCGACTTTTGAACTTAATTTATGACTTTGAATAGGCCCATGAACTTGAGACACAGAATTTGTGCAGTGGAAACAGACCCATTTCTCTTAAAAGTGAATTAAAAAATACATAGTAAAACACACAAAGATATAAATACATATATAAATGGTGTAGTTTAAATTTGTTTAAATAATTTTTTTTTGAAAATACAGGTTTCCAAAAGAAAAGAGAAAAAAATATGCAAAATTATGAAGTCGACTTTTGAACTTAATTTATGACTTTAAATAGGCCCATGAACTTGAGACACAGAATTTGTGCAGTGGAAACAGACCCATTTCTCTTAAAAGTTAATTAAAAAATACATAGTAAAGCTATTTGATTTATAACAAGATCAAATGCAATTTATTAATGCTTTAATGTCGTCTTCATATTTTACAGTTTTCTGGTTATCACTGTATTATAGATTACATTTTATATTAATAATGAGGACACGTATCAACGACGCATATTCCCAGCTTGATATGAGGACGCACATTGACTAATAGACTATTATGAACGCACTGCAATATTAAGCACGCACGTTACGGTCACACTGTAATAACGCACATTGAGATTGCACATGGTGTCTTGAAGGATTAGAAGAATAAACCTCAGTCTTAGAATTGTTTTAGCAGGTGTTTCCTTTTTATCTTTGATAAAAGGTTCAATTGAATTTTCGTTGACAATCCCTTAAACCTTTTTAATTTTTGAGAATTAATGTTTTAAAATAACGATTTTTCTTTCTTAAATTGTTTTTAAAACTTTTCAGTTTTAAATGTTTCATCCAAGAGCTGGAACTTTAAATTTGAAAATTTGAATTTTTCCGTAAAAAATCGAAAAATTTCTAGAGTTAAAAAAGAGAAAATGCTGGCATTGAAATAAAATTAGTGGGTTCCATTTGCAAACAAAACTTTTCTAGAAAGCACAACGCGAAAAAATAAGAATATTCGTATTTTCAGTGAAATTAACAGTAACATAATTATCTTTAATTAACGTACTCCACAATTCTTATATTATGTTGACATTACTTTCACTTAACTTTCTGTCGTGCTCGGGATCAAGTATTGATCTCCACTATAAATGAAGACTTTTGGATTAATGAAGTTCTTCCTTGATATCCTATGATCGTCATACCAGCAGACATGACTTTAATTTAGGGATCAAGCATTCATCCCTAAATTCAAAAGTGCCCACATTGGATATGAAGATCAAGCTTTAAAGATTAACGATACTCCACGAACAAGTTCCGAACTCTGATCATCATCAAAATTTTTTTTTATATTTAAAGATTATATCAATATGTATTATGTAATATGACCAAATGTAATTAATAAACTAATAGATTGGTATAATTACTTATATCTAATTATACATATATACTCAATATGCATCCGGAGGATTCATCTAGGGAGGGGAAGCATAGAAGAGGGGAAGCATAGAAGAGAGGAAGGGGGGGGAGAAGGGGCATAGAAGAGGGTAGGGGAGAAGCAAAGAAGAGTTATGGGGATATAAGGGGAAGAGAGGGTTATGAATGTATAACAAATATAAAAAGTTCAAAAATTTAAAATTGAAAGAGGAAAAGTAGAAGAAATACCGAAACAATATTGAAACTTTATCTATATTTAAAAAATAGTAATCTCTGTTTGTTTGTTTGTATGTATCATAACTCCTTGACCAATTGACAACAAATTTTGTTGATTGGGAAACATGGGAGAACCACGGCAATGTTCTTGGCTTGGCTTGAAGATTCCAAATTTTGAATGGGTCAACATTTTTCGGGACAAATCGTAATGTACGACCGAGCTCAAGTAAACGGCGGGAGTAACTACGAGAATCCTGGGCAATACTGGGTTCCCAAGCTAATAAAATATAATTCATATAACTTTTTTAAATGAAAATGGAATTCTTTAAAACCGTTTTAAACGTTTTAAATACTTAAATTTTTTCTGTGTACATTTTACACACATAAAACCTAAGCAAAACATTAATTTCAAATTCTTTTTACTTGCGTTTTCATTTTTGAATCCCGACCTGCCAAGCCTAACCTTGGAACCATCTCTGGTCCAACACAAGCTATTTTATGTTTTATTGCAGGGTCACAAACAAACACATGCAAACACAAACATATAAATAACCCAGTAATTAGCTCAACCTTCCCTCTTCTCTATTTTCCCCTAAACCAAAGCATTGTTGGCAGTAGCCTGAGTCTAGACTGCATTAGGCATTATAAAGTATGCATACTTAGAAGTAGGCCTGGTCTTAGAGCATTTGAAGATTTTACGTAGTGATTAAATTATCGATCTGACCACTTTCCAAATAACCTAAATATTTCCAACAGTTGCTTTAGATGGTTGAAAACTATCCAACATATTTTGGCAACGAAAACATTAAAAGTAATAATTCAAAATTGGCAACGAGAAGTTTGAACTGTATTGCCCAGCCCTACTTCTATATACACCACCAGGACGTCATTTTATTCATGCCAACATTTACCTTTTCAAGGACAACAGTAAAGTTTTATTGATAAACAATTACTCGGCTTCTATATGGAAAATAAGGAGATTTCCTCTTCATTGCAGTTTTTTGCCACAAATTCTGATCTTCTAATACCTGTTTCTTAGCAACCTAATGGTGTAAACCTTCAATATTTCAAACTATCATTATGTGATCTTAAAGAATAGTTTGAAATATCAAAGATTTCCGACATTGAATTGCAAAGAAAATTAGAAAATCAGAGTTTGTGGCAAAAACTCAGTTCCTTTACTTAAGTTAATAAAATAATCATGGGATTAAAATGTTTTCAATAAGAACTCTTCTCATTATAGAGATGTTGAGTAGAACAAACATTTTTTAAATTTTTAACATGTTACCGGATTAATATGCTTTTTTCATATTTGTGCGTAAAATGAAAATTAGAGGAATTTCGAGGTCACAATAGAGTACAAGTAATTTTGAATTCAGTTGATGTTCTCCTTTTTTATATAAATTTATAGTTTAATTCAGTTTAACTTGACAATTACAGCATTGTATGGAACATATTTTCCATTAAGAATTTTTTAATCTATTAAACAAGATTCAAATATATTTTTCAAAATAAATCAACAATTCTGAATAAAATAGATTTTAAAAAATGTCCAGTGATCACAGTAGCTTAATGGTGTTCATCTGAAGTTTTCTGAATACCGCGTAACGCATCTTCTTTGAGTAAATATTCAAAAGTTTGAAAAAATTTTGGCTCTTGAACTTTCTCCCGGAGCAAAAGAGGAGAAAGAAACTTTTTATCCACTCTCTGAAAGCAGTTTTAAAATTATTTCTATATTTTTATCATAAAAAAACGAAAGAATTAGAAAATTATAACAATCGTAATTAGAGAATTTGTGAGTGGCAAGTGAAATAAAAAGTGAATATCTTTAAAAATATATTTTCATCCACTCTCTGAAAGCATTTTTAAAAATTATTTCTATATTTTTATCATAAAAAAACGAAAAATTAGAAAATTTTAACAATCGTAATTAGAGAATTTGTGAGTGGCAAGTGAAATAAAAAGTGAATATCTTTAAAAATGTATTTGCTGAACAAGGGACTACTGATGATATCGAGCAAATTAATCTTGTTCCCGCTGGGTTGGGGTGCTTAAAAAATGTTTCTGAACTTTTTTATTAATATTGGTAATAGTTAGGTCATAACCATAAAACGGATGGGGAGGGGTGGGGAAATGTGGTGCCCCTTATAAGTTTTCCGTAAGAGAAAACAAAAATTATAGATAAAGAAAATTCGGATTGATTAGAAAACGGGATAAACTGTAAAAACTAACCTTATACATATGTCTAACTATCAGTGGAACTTCACTCGTATTACCGATAATCTCTCCGATACCAAGCTTAGTTAAATCCATTAATCTGATAAATAAGTTTAAACATTTTTCTAAATTTGATTTTTTAATTAATTTTTTTAAATATTTTTTTGATTCAATTTTAATAAAGCGTAGAAGAGTTCTTAACTTTTTGTCCTCTTATATGATTTATTTTAATTTTTGTAAATTAATTTTTTACTAGGTTTTTTCTTTACACTTCAAGGAAATGTCGATATTGGAAACTACATTTAAACCGGATCCGACAATATTTACAATTTCAACACCACTCACAGGGTGTCTCTAGAAACAGTGATTGATGCCATAACGGATTTATTTTTTTGGATGTCAAAACTCAAAATGATTTATGAAATATTTTCTGATCTAGTGGGACAAACGCAAACCTTGTATCATTTTTGTACGTCTAGATTTAGAAAAAATACATCTGATGCATTACAGCCTTACAGGTTTCATAAAATGATTGTTGACAGAGCCTCAGTTTTTTTTTTACAGAATTTCCCATGAATATTAAAAGTATCAGCTAAACTTTTTCGATCAGTTGATTCAAACAAAAACGCAAATTTTTGTTACAAATTGTTTGTTCCGCATTAATATCAAAAGAACTTCTTAAAATAAACTTTTATCATATATATTAATTGCTAGGAACAATATTCTCGCTAACTGCTGTTTTTCTTTAAAGAAACCCTGTATATTCAAAAGTCCAACTTGTATTTGTTTTAATTAGTCTACAATTTAGATTTTTACTAGATATTAAAAAATTGGGAAAATTTTGTTTTTAAAACTTAATCTGTAAAATTTCTACCTGCTAGTTACTCTTTCACCCATACTGACATTAGTAGCTGACCTTGTCTTAACTCTGAGAAGTCTAACCAGGGGTTTAATAGTAATTCCCTGAAAACATACAAATCAATATAAACAAAATATTTAATGTTATGTTAAACAATTTAGTAAAGGAATAAACAGGTTTATAGCCTTAGGAAACCATGAATGCAAGAAAGGAGACAGAATTAATTCTGTACAATCACCTTTATGGTTTCTTCCTTTATGGGTAACCAACGGGTAACCAAGTAACGGAAATTTGATATATTATATCCATGAACGAAATTATACTTCCAATTGTGAAAGCAAGTTTTTGAGGTCAACTCATCTGTGAACTGGATAAAATTATATATAAAATATAAATGTCTAAATGTGTTAATGAAACATGGTTTCTGATACCTTGTCTAAAATATCGGGTTCTGGTACTCCTGATATTACCTGGAAAAAGACTGTAAAGAAAATCATTGCCAATGTTGTTGTTACAAACAGGTTTTTGTTTGGTGAATGCAAGGATAGAACTAGAGCAAAGGCCACGCCGCCTCTCAGTCCTACCAGGTTTAATAAATCCTTTTTTATTTAAAATCTAAATTTGCCACTGCAGTAAATTAGAATTTTTGTTATTGTAGAATAGCTAGGGCTGAAAGTTTCAACCAGGAAAAATACCGTCTACACTTTTTTAATTTAACAAAGCAGTTTTTACAAGAGTAAAATATTTCTACCGGAAACGGGGTGTGAGTGTGTGAATTTATAAGTCCTAGTTGAGCGTAAGGTGATAATACATTCACATTTTACATCCATTGTCAAACCTTCTCTTCAATCTTTTAAAAGAAAGATATAAAAGAAAAATTAGATATATTTTCATAAATATTGTTTTTAATTTGATTTTGAATCTCTCTTGTGTGTGTATATCAAAGCACAGAAAACGGAAATTTTGATTTTTTTCTAATTTGTTTTCAACCTTCAAAGAAATGTTAATATTGAAAATGGAATTATTAAATGAAATTATAGAATACTTGTTACAATGAAATCAAAGCTCCCAAACTTTGGTTTGCGAGATAAATTTATCTAAATTCAAACATAAACTATGTTTACAATAATATAATTCAATCTAATCTTGCTCAAGTTAGAATTAAGGGTCGATTTTAATAAATTAAAATTTTGTAAATAAATCATTTTTTTTGCTTAAAATCTATTTTCTTATAGTTTTATGAGTTATTTTTATCCTTTTTATATTTTAAATTTTTTGTATTATCAGCCTCATTGCATATCGTGATTGCTTCAACGCAAAAAGTTTTTTTTTATGAAAAAAAAAACTTAATGCTGAAAAACCTTTAATATTTTTTAGAGCTTAAGTGGAACATACAAGAGCTTGCATTACTTTTTACTATTCTTTCAAAACTTCAAAAACTTGAAAATACAGAATGTCTTTTACTTTCCATTCATTACTATTTCTAGTGCACACGGGACACGATGTTCATCAAAAAAGATAGGACTTAAATTAGAATCTCAGAAGGTTGTAATTGGTTTTTAAAACTTGAATATAATCGTTAAGAAAAAAGCTACACGAAACTTTGAATGCATGAAAAAAAACTATTATTACGGACAAAGAAGTTGAAACTGTGACTCAGATTTTCTAATCCCTAAATCTGTAGAGTGTAGACCTTAGATATTGCAAACTATAAATTTTGGAGATCAAATAATTTCAATTTGAAATATTAAAGATTTGAACATTTTAGCGTGTGGGAAAGTGGGAAAGAATCAATTCTTTGCTGAAAAATCTATGTTCAAGGACTTTTCAAAAATGAAAGTGTTAGATCTGTAGCTCAAATGATAAAAAAGGAATGGACTACCATTATGGGTTAACTAAACTTTGTTAAATTGCACCATAAATCGCAGAAAAATCTACTGATTTCCTCCCCCTTCCCTATTTTTCTACCTCTCCCTGTCTAAAAATCTTATCTGAACTCTACGTTAAACCATCAGTTTCCAATTAATTTATATATATTTGACAAAAGTTTGAAAGAAATTCTTCCAGAGATTGGTTTCATTTCCAATATTAAAAGTTGGAGGTTATTTTTGTTCTTTTTTCCTAGAAATGAAAAGTTTTTATTTATCTCTTATCAGAAACAACAAAATGTTATTTCCCTTATTGAGAACTTTCTTTTACAAATATTTCGTCAAGAACAGAAAATATCTATTTTTTGTTGGTTATGTTTGTTAACCTAAACTAAGCTTTCGGTGTGTGTACTGCAGTACCGACGAAAAAGTGGGGTTTAGTGGAGAGTGGTTTAATGCCGATTAAATGGAAATTAGTCGCGGCAGAACTATCTCTATTTCAGAACAGGGGTACTTATAAAGGTCTAATTGATAATAGAATGCTCTTTAAAAAAAGTGGCGTTATCTATATTAAAAAAAATACTTTTAATTCTTAGGTTAAAAAAATAAAAACAAAAATATTTATTAAACTTTCCTCCATACATGCATATCACTTGTTCTATGGCATTTATCTTCTGAATCCTAAAAAGTTAGGATATGGCTTAATTACCAAAAATGATTTCTCATCTATATATTTAAGATTAAAATAAATTATAAAATTAAAAGAAAGAAAATTTAAATGATTGTTATGTTTCATAATCTTATCTCTTCCATACTTCTAACCTAATTATATTCCCATCTAACCTAATCATATTTCCATGTTCCATTTATCTAACCTAATTATACTACCATGTTCCATACATCTTACCTAATAATATTCCCATATCCATAAATCTAACTTAATCATATTCCCATATCCATATATCTAACCTAATCATATTACCATGTTCCATACATCTTACCTAATAATATTCCCATATCGATATATCTAAATTAATAATATTCCCATATCCATATATCTAACCTAATCATATTCCCATATCCATATATCTAACCTAATCATATTCCCATATCCATATATCTAACCTAATCATGTTTGCCAGTTTTGATAGAATAAAGACCCCCACAACCCTCCATAAACAGCAGCAGACAATAGTTGCAAGAACAAAGTAGGAATTCCATCTGAAAAAAGAAATGTTGGCGAACGACTCTTTTAAAATACAAAAAAACTTACTGATGAGTTTCATTCATGATGGTAACTATACCCAGGAAAAGGAATATGGTCATCTCAGATACATTTGCCAGCAGATGCATTCCCATTCGTACAGTTATACTTGAGCTCTCACTTATATTCTGCAAATTATGAATTAGATTTTTTGGAATTTTTTTTTATATTTTCAAACTAGAGAAATGTGTTGAAAATAAGAGAATGCCAAAAAGATAAATGCATCTTACATTATGGAATACGAGAAAGGAAATTGCTGAGAAATTAGAAATTTATCTATGCAAGGTCCATATGCACACTAGTTTTAAATATCTAAATAATTAGGCGTTTTTGATTCTGTTTTGAGCATTTTAAGGGAATGCCCGACAGGTATAGGGTAGTTAAGCCAAAGTAATTGAGTCTTTGACACAAACTCGGATTTTTAAATCTCAATTTCTTTAAAACCAAATGTTGTAGACCGTAGATATTTCAAACTAAGAATTCTGGTGGATCAAACAATTTAAGTTTGAAATATGAAAGGTATGCATCATCTGGCTGTTGAGATTTAGGTATTATATAATTGGGATTTGTGACAAAAAATCCATTCCTTTGTGGCGTAACGGAATGAAATTTCAGGTTTCATTTCATACCAATGACTGTTTACGTTGCATATTGCATAACTCTTATTAATTATGATTTAAATTGGCCGTAGAGTACAGAGAAAGTTAATTACATAAAAAACTGAATAATAGATAGATACAAACGAGTAGCAGTAAAATCTGAAACAAATTTTACATAAAACTTATATATAAGATAAGGAACTGAAAGGTCAGAATAATTGATATTTGCCTTAGCATTGCTAAATAACATTTTTGATTAAAGCTTTTAAAGGATCTGTAGACGTAATTTGAAGGAAAAGGATGTCAGGTAATTTACCAAGAGCTTTTTTCCCAAACGACAACTTCCCAATGGTATTTTCCCAAATGGAAACTTCCCAACTGTGCAGCCTGCAGCGCCCCAAAAGTCTTATAAACCTAACCTTTTGGAAAATTATACAATAGAGAAATTGTCACTTAGGAAGTCGTCCTTGGGAAAATTCCTTTGGAAAAATGCCTAACACCATTTGAAATGACCCTTCATAGAAAGTGTCATGTCTGATTCAAAACGGCACCTGATTAAGAATGACTGAACGATGATTTCAGTCTTAAATATTTTTTTTTTCGATTGGGGGTTCTTTATACAAGTTACTTACGGATTTCTTGCAAAGAACCACATATGGCAATTTTAAGAAATAAACATTTTTCGTGTTAGAAAACGACATTGTTGATCATATGCAAGATAAGGACACCGTTGCAAATTTGGCAGAAAAATAAGCCATTCATATTCTGTAAGAACCATGAACCATAAAACTCTGAAAGAAGACTTTCAGACTCAAATTATGACTTTTACTTATCCAATGAACATGAGACATGGCAATGATACAGTGTAACCAGACTTATTTCCCTTAATAAGAAATTTGATAAGTTACCAATAAGACTATTTACTTTGTAACACTCTTGAATATTTCCTAAATGTTGTCTTCCGATTCCGCAGTTTTCTGGTTTTTACTGTACATGTCGTCAATGAGAACCAAAGTTTATAAGGAATTTTACAATTACGCCAATATAACATAAACTAAAATATGCACTTTACACTTTCAAAATGTGCACGTAAGTCCGGAATGCATAACTCCAGTTGATTTTTTGGACCGGGCCGACTTTTAAGCAGCTAGAGCAAACTGTACAGTACAGATCTTGACTAAATAAAGCAAAATGGGACAGTACACTAAATGTATCAGCTTTTTCTAGGGATATTCTGTTGAAATTATAGTTGTATGGATTTTGGTGTAAGATAAATCTGTAAAATATATTGTCCTAAGAGAAGTACTGAATTAAAGTGTCGCTTTGATATATAACATTTCCTTTAAAAGGGGTCAAAATAATCTACCTTCTCTACATAGTTCTTCATGGTGATCCCGCAGAAGGTGATTGCTAGAATACCGGACATATGAAATACTTCAGCTGTTAGATAGGACATGTACGCCATGCTTATTACGATTAAGGCTTCCATAAGGTAAACCGGTTTCATCAGCCTGGAAAATGCTAATTAATCATTTTATGCGATGAAAATTGTCTTGGTGAAAGCCATAATAGCATCATAAATGAACTGGCTCTTTCTTGTTCTCATAAAAGTCTGATACCTACTTCACCGCAGAAAGGAGCCACGGTAAAAGATGTTATTAATGATAAAATTATGAAATCACTAACTAATTCGGTTAGCTAGGATAGCCATTATTGCAACAAGGGTGGCTATCACTTCAGTTACAGCTAGAGTGGCTATCACTTCAGTTACAGCTAGGGTGGCTATCACTTCATGGAGCTAAGAGAGCTTGCACTGCAGTTAGCTAAGGTGACTAGAACTTCAGTTACCCAGGGTGGCCAGCAATGCAGTTAGTTAGAGGGACTAGCACTTCAGGGAGCTTGCACGGCTAACACTACGGTTATCTAAGGGAGTCTTCAGTTAGCTAGTGTAGCCCTAACGGGGATACACTGCGGTTAGCTAGGTTGGCTAGCACTTCAGTTAGCCAGGATGGCTTGCACTGCAGCTATAAAAAGGGCTAGCACTGCAGTCATCTAAGTGTCTAGCACTGCGGTAAGCTAAGGGGACTTGCACTGCAGGTATATAAGGGGTCTAACACTGCAGTTATCTAAGTGTCTAGCACTGCGGTTAGCTAAGAGGCTACCACTGCAGTTATCTAAGTGTCTAGCACTGCGGTAAGCTAAGGAGACTTGCACTGCAGCTACATAAAGGGCTAGCACTGCAGTTATCTAAGTGTCTAGTACTGCGGTAAGCTAAGGGGACTTGCACTGCAGGTATATAAAGGGCTAGCACTGCAGTCATCTAAGTGTCTAGCACTGCGGTAAGTTAAGGGGACTTGCACTGCAGGTATATAGGGGGTTTAACACTGCAGTTATCTAAGTGTCTATCACTGCGGTAAGCTAAGAGGACTTGCACTGCAGATATATAGGGGGTTTAACACTGCAGTTTTCTAAGTGTCTATCACTGCGGTAAGCTAAGGGGCTAGCACTGCAGGTGTATAAGGGGTCTAACACTGCAGTTATCTTAGTGTCTAGCACTGCGGTAAGTTAAGGGGCTAGCACTGCGGTAAGCTAAGGGGACTTGCACTGCAGCTATATAAGGGGTCTAACACTGCAGTTATCTGAGGGGCTAGCACTGCGGTAAGCTAAGGGGCATAGAGTAATAAAACGCTAAGGGGGCTAGCACTGTATTTATATAAGCGGGTTAGCACTGCAGTTATCTAAGTGTCTAGCACTGCGGTAAGCTAAGGGGGCTACCAGCACTGTAGTTATATAAGGGGGATAGCACTGCAGTTATCTAAGTGTCTAGCACTGCGGTAAGTTAAGGGGGCTAGCATTGCAGTTTTATAAGGAGACTAACACTGCTGCCTATATAAGGGGGCTCGCATTGTAGTAGTAAATCCAATGCATGGAAATGGAAGCATACAAATTTTAAATGTTATCATTACCTGGTTACTAGCGCACAAACATACCCCCAGATTATTCCTGATAACAAATAAATATTTTCTTGAAGTTCATCTTAGGAATTGGGCAAATTGAATGATAGGACAGGACACCCCGGAATAGAAAGGACACTATACTATACCCAAAAGAAATTGGGCAAATTGAATGATAGGATAGAATACCCAGGAATAGAAAGGACACTATACTATACCCAAAAGGAATTGGACAAATTGAATGATAGGATAGAACACCCAGGAATAGAAAGGACACTATACTATACCCAAAAGGAATTGGGCAAATTGAATGATAGGATAGAACACCCAGGAATAGAAAGGACACTATACTATACCCTAAAAGAATTGGGCAAATTGAACTTTTTTTAGGATTAGGAAACCCTGTAGTTTTTTTACAGAAATATAAAACCCTTTCTATTAGGAAAAGGACACTCAGGATTTCCTCTTAGAAAAGAACAACATTCAATAAAAAGGCACCTTAGGGTTTCTGATAGGAATAGGAACCCTGGAGTTCCTCAAGGAAATAAACCACCCTGAAGTTCCTCATAGGAATAGGACAAACTTTCAAGTTTCTCAGTTCAATGTTACAATTCAATTATGTAAAGTGTATTCAAACAACTTTTACTCTTGACAACTGTAAGTAACTGCCCACACACCTAGAGCGCTACCTTAAAGGCTTAAAGGGAGTGTTTGTGAAAACAAAAGGGAGTATATAGGCTTATGGCGAAAAATGATAGATGGTGATCGCTACTAATCTTCGGTAAGAGTCGTTTTTAACAATTTTCTCCTTTTAGACGCAACAGACAGAAGTAAGATTGGTAGCTATCACTTTCACTAATGTTTTGCCGCGTAAGCCTATACCCCCTTTCATTTTTCTTGAACACTCCCTTTAAAGAGAATGTTCACCATTTATTTACTCACACAGTTAAGTAAATTTTTTTAATAGGATCAGAACTAAGCCCACCAATTCAGTTAATGATATCCCTGAGGACTGGAATAAACCGAAACTTGCAACGGAAATATCTCGCGTTCTACCGGAATATCCTAGGTTGTAAATTTCTCGGGTTTCATAAATATTTCCGTTTATTGCAGAAAGAAGTATAGTTATTTTTATTTATAGCACTACTAAATGAAAAAAAAAACAATGTTGTATTGCATTGAACAGAAAGTATTTTCAAGATCCGTCATATATAAAAGAAAACTGCTTTTTTTGTCAAGTACTCGACGATTCACAGAAAGTACCAAATTAATCTGAACCTCAAGCTCTGAAATTCGAAATATTTCGTCTTATTTTCAAAATTTTTGGTAATTATGTGGTTTACTTCTTAAATTGGTGAACAAAGTAATAAAACAATTAAATTAATGGGAAGGGGACAGAGCTCTTATTGGCTAAATTCTATAGTCAGTATATATCATATTCTATATATATATTTTCTTGTCTGTCTGTATGTTTCTTTAAATATACCGATTTGGCCAACATTTTGTGTAGGACCTTGCACATGACTCCACGGAAGGTTTATGAAGATGCTGAGAATTACAAAAAGTTCTCTTCAAAAATGTTTGATTTTCGTAAAGTTTTGAAAATTCACGAAATAGAAATTGTAAATCCCCGAATATCTTTTTGCATAGCTTATACATGGATTGAGAAACAATTAAAATTTGAAATAGACTAGGCTTTTAGGGCGCTTCGCACCCATCTTCTATTTAAATTGTGAACATGTTCTTTTTGTTTACATTTTAAAACGAAGAAGAAAAGAATTTTGAGGATTTTTTAAAAAAATTCGCGGATTTTCAAGAATTTAAATTTTTTTTACAAAATTAAAAACCTTTAAAACATATTTTGTTTAATTTTTATCATTAATAAACATTCCCTGTGGTCACGTGATGTCTCACAAAAAATTGGTTCCCGATCTGTTCAGCTGTTCTGACGTTTATTGGATACAAACAAACAGACAGACACCCAAACAGACAGACAAGCCAAATTTATATAACATTATTCTTGGTTTACATCTTGTAAAAAATCTTTCTTTTGTGGACAATTTTTTATTTATTTTTCTATTCCCGGAGGTGCACAAAGTGGAGTTTAATGTTTTGTAAGAAATTTTGTATTAATCTAATTTCTAAAGAAAGTATATATGATGAATAGGTACATTACGCTGCTTTGAAATTTCATTTTCTTTTCACAAAAACTAAGATTGAGCTAGAGGAGGAAGAGGGGGGATTCATATTTACAAAAAATATTATAAGGATCGAGGGAGTGGGGGGGAGGACTGTCGATAAGAAAAACACAATTTACATTTAGGATGAAGAGCGGGGGTGATTTTAGCGATAATGAAAAAGTTTACCTATTACAGTACCTCCACCAGCTACAACAATAAAACTGTTCCAAGAAAATTTCATTTCATTCATATTTATACATATTGTTGTCTGTCGGTACATATATACTATAGGTCACTTAGTAAAAGAAAGGAGTCTGTTTTATATATTATTGTCAGTCATTACATACTTTCGGTCACTTAGTAAAAGAAAGGAGTCTGTTTTATATATTATTGTCAGTCATTACATACTTTCGGTCACTTAGTAAAAGAAAGGAGTCTGTTTTATATATTATTGTCAGTCATTACACACATTCGGTCACTTAGTAAAAGAAAGGAATCTGTTTTATATATTATTGTCAGTCATTACATACTTTCGGTCACTTAGTAAAAGAAAGGAGTCTGTTTTATATCTTATTGTCAGTCATTAAATACTTTCGGTCACTTAGTAAAAGAAAGGGGTTAGTGTTACATATTGTTGTCTGTCGGTGAATGATTTCATTAACTTAGTAAAAGAAAGGGGTCAGTGTTCCACACTACACAGTGTTATCAGTTGGTACACACTTTGGTTCACTTATTAAAAAAAGGAGTCAGAATTAAACATATTGTTCTCAGCAAAGAGAAAAGAATATATATTAGAGAGGAATTTACTAGAAAAAAGTGTAAAACGGCCATTTTGTTGTACTGTTTCATACTGCAGGTGTACTTCACATATTTGTGTTATATAACATTTTGGGCCCTGGAACATCATTTTATGGAAAATCTAAAATTAATATTAAAAGAAAACCAAATTAAAAACTAGGCTGTTTTCATAATTGACCAATGACTATTTCACATAGACCCTATGATTTTCCGTTATAACTATAAATAATTCACCTAATTCATTCTATAAATTTTATTTAACAGCTTTAAAAAAATCGAAATTGAAATGGATAGTCTAGTGACCATACTGTATTAATGTACTCTACTGCATATAATTTGTGAACATTTACATGATTTGTACACTTTGAACTCACTTTCAGGCTGAAAGGGACTGACAAAATTCATACCGAGGGATTGTCTAAATTCCACTCTAATATATATTCTATTCTCTTTGGTTGTCAGTCGGATACATGATATGGGTTACTTAATGCAATGAAATATTATAAGAATGAATTGGATATTGATATGTTCAGTGTTCAATGGATTAGAATACATATGTTTTTTTTCCCTGATAAGACCATAAACAATATCTGTGGGAGTTATAGCTGATTCTCCCATCTAAAATATACAAATATATGTTAACAATATTTTATTTTAAAAAGATGTTTGAAATTTTACAAAATAGGTGGGTTAAATCTGGCCATGTTTTCTAAATAAAACTACCGGCTAAAAGTTACATGAATAAACGATCTAAAGAAACGAGGAAGTAAAAGAGAAAATCTAAAGCTAGGAACCATCAAAGAAAATAATCTTATAATATAAATATTGAAAGCTGCGAAAGAACATATTTCAGAAAATTAGAAAATGCTTAGACGATAATGTTAGCTTTATAACTAATAAAGATAAACTGCACGTAGTGACGTAATAACGTATTTTTTAATTTAGGATCAAACTAAGCCTATCTTGCTGTTCAAAGATGTTCCAGATGTGCAGAATCTTAAAAACTTTCTATTATGCAATTTTGTAAATTTAGAAATATGATTAATTTTACGATTATTTTTGATGAACTATAAAAGATAGACCCGGATCAGATTAATTTCATTGAAAATTTAAAATTCTAACATATTTTCTACCAATGTTTGTAATGTTTTAAATTTAAGAAAATTATTTATTTTTTCGTAAAATGTTAATAATTTTAAAAGTTTTGTTGTAAAATGAGACGAAAACATCATGAAGGCTTCATCTTAAAATAAAAAATGTAATATAAAACGACAAGGATGATTTATATTATCTTGAAAGGATTCAGTAAATATATTGGAGAGATTATACGGTAAAATATTTACCCTTATTCCGATAATCACGTTTCCTGTACCCAAAATACCCTTTTCCTTATTCATTATTAATTCATGACATCTTAATCATTTTTGGAAAACCCTTGGTCTGTTGGTAGTTCAATGATCTTGCAAAGGAATTGAGTCTTTGACACAAACTCTGATTTTCTAATCCCAATATCTTTGGAACCCAATGTCGTAAACCTTTGATATTTCAAACTTATATTATTTTATCTAACAAAAGTCATAGTTTGAAATGTCAAAGGTTTACGACGTTGGAATCCAAAGATATAGGGATTAAAAAATCAGAGTTTGTGGCAAAGACTCAATTCCTTTTCAAAAATCTAAATATTTATGGTGAAATTAAGTTTTTAATTGCTCGCAATATTATTAATTATGCCTTATAGAAATGCCCTCAATTTCAAGAGACACAAGTAACGGATTAGCTTTATTTAGTTGAAAAGATATACACAAGGAGCTCTATGTACTCTCTTTGAATGGAGGTTCACTTGAAATTACGCTTACAAGGAACAAGGTCCCTGTAAATAGATAAACTAATATGACCAATGAACACTCCTTAAATCGAGATAAGCGAGTTTGTCGATTATTACTTAAATCGATTAAAGGGGATCCGATTAATCATTAGTTTCCTAACTTTTTCTTTAAATCCTTGCTGACTTTTCCTTTAAACCGAACAGATCTGACTATATATTACCTCTTCAAAAGATTCGAACATATGATAAAGAACAACTGCTACTCCATCATTGAGGAGAGATTCACCAAATACGATAATGTTCAGGACTTCNTAAATGATATTCAGTACTATCAACCTAAAATACCTTCTGAATTATAAGATTTTAAATATCGAAAAGTCAATAGATAAAAATTTGCTGTTAACAATCATACGCTAACGAAATGTTCTGAATTTGATTAACAATATTTTAATTTATATATTTTATAAATATTTTGCTTAACAACGGTTAACAGATAAAATTGTTACTAAAAAAGTGACACAAACACCCGTGAAGGTCTAGTAAACAATGAATAGATATACCATATTTTTCACCCCTTGTAGATAAAGGATTAATACAAATTGGTGATTTTCGATTGTACTTGCAGGGAATTGAACTCTTCACTATTTTACGTTGTATATTCAGCATAGTATTACACATCTTTAAAAAAAGGAACAAACACTTTTAAATTCAAAATTAGATTGCTTTAATTCCTCAGTAAATCTATTCTGAGAACCATGTTTACCTTAATCTCCTGAAAAACAGCAAGAACAGCTACAGGATCAACTGCTGCTATCAAAGAACCAAATAATAAAACTTCAAGATATTCTATATTCTTCAAATCATCTCCGTAGAACCCAGCTTTACCCAAACCATACAAGGAAAATCCTAGAAAAATATTTCTTATTTTAAAATAAAAAGATTAAAATTAAACTGTTTTTAATCGGAATGAGCTTTGGTTTTATTAGACAGGATAAGTTTTTATAATGTAACAATCATGTATCTCTCTCTCTCTAAGGCTTATATCCAGACCCCACAGCCTTTTAAAGTGTGTTTAATTAATACCTATTGTGAACATGTTGAAGATTGTTCCAACAACTGCCATCAGAAGAATTGTCCCCAATTGATCAAAAAACAACCGGTTTGGCATAAAATACCCAGCCTAAGATAAATATATTATAAAGTTATTCAGAAAAACTAGAACAACATAATCTAATTTTGAAGCTAAATATAAGCCCTGCCTCCATAATTATCGGTGGGAGAAGAATAAGGAAGAATATATCTGGTGTAAGAACTACTGCCGATATGTTTACTAGAAAGAGGAAGACCCCTATCAAGAGTCCAAAGAGAATCATAATACTAGATTCAGGCAGCTTCTTGGCCAGAGGAAGGTAGTTATACCCTGCAGTATTTACAGTCTATAAATGGAATGTTTATAAATTATACTATATTTCCTTTTTGTTCTAAAGAAATATATCATGCACTGTATCTTGGAATTTTATAATGCCTAAAACATTAAGTTTAGGTCTTGTATAACTTACCCAGTTAGGCGTTCAGGCGTGTTTTACAATTTACAACTAAGCTTTTACAACTCAAATTGCATAATTTCTATACCTTTGCAACCTTGATTATATCAAACTTAAAATATTTTATCTAACTGAATCCATATTTTAAAGTTTCAGTCAAATTGGGTTGCAAATTTTTTTTCTTTTATTATCAGTCCAAAAAGCCCTATTTATACGCCACAAGGGGGTTGAGTTTCTATTTTCGGAAGTTGCATGACTGGGTCGGATTTATTTTTGTCGCTTTAAAAAAAAAACTGTGTCAAAAAGCAAATACAAAAAAAAATCCTCTCTGAATTTGGAGATATTTTACTTTTTCATTTTCATTTGTGAAAATAATGAAATTAGGCGAACACTATTTGAAATTATCGTGCATGAAGAGAAAAAATGCCCAAAATTTGTTATCCAGAAAAATAATAAAATCATAAAAATCATAAAATCAGTAGATGATTGGATTCAACTGTAAATTGTTTATGGTTCTTGTGATTTTGTTTTCAGAAAGTTGAATAAATGTAAATATTCCTAATTTAGCAAATGTTGTGATGAGAATCCACGAAAAGAAAACATAGGGCAGCTCAACCCTAGACCATTCAACGTGAAATATTTGAAAACCTTCATGGTGTCCATCGTCTTCTTTTACACCCTGAACACAAATCAATTCAAATATTTACTACATAAAGATTTCATGAAAGTTGATAACATGGTGTTTTTGTCAAAATAAAGAACTGTCTTATGACAACTTCATTTTTTAACCTAGAAATGAATAAATATATTAAAAGCTATAAAAATATTTCCTACAGGTTGGAAAGGGAAACCAATGACCAAGGCCAGGCATTGTTTGAAAGTCTATCAAACACAAACAGTTTTTGCATAATTTGTTGGGCTTGGAGATCATTATATAATTCAAAATCTTGACAAAACGACCAACCAAAACATCGTGTTGGATTTTAACCAAAACTTTAAAGTTTAGATTTTTTAATTCAAATAAATTTTTCCAAGCGTTGATTGGGCTCTGGGCAGCCTCTCATATTTCCTATCTATGGAATACATAAAACTGGAATAAAAGAACTGCACAGCAAGCATGACAAGTATCTTTCTAAAATCCAATATAAAGTTATACGTACATGTTTATGTACATTGTAAAACATACAAATATCAAATTCTGGATACAACTTGTCAAGCATAAAAAAGTTTTCAATAAAATTCTTTAAAAGTTAACAAAGGCATTTGTAGAAGTTGACTCGAATTAGACCATTATTATCCAAGATAGGGGTTGATAATAGATATGAAGAATGAAGCGGGGAATAATCATGGCTTATATATATATCCTTAAATAATTATATTTTTTTTTTTCATCATTTGATGATTCTTTGAAAATATTTGATGTCGAGAAAGTTTCAGATCTTAAGTCAAACTTTCTGATAATCTTTATCAGTCCCTTCTAGTGATATTCTAGTATGTACGCTGTTCAGTCCCTTCTAGTGATATTCTAGTATGTACGCTGTTCAGTCCCTTCCAGTGATATTCTAGTATGTACGCTGTTCAGTCCCTCTACACTGAAAAGTATTTGAATGATTGAATAATTGATTAGAAAGTGATGCATAATTGAAGATCAAACAACCAGTGATTGGAGGTAATTGATTTTCTCCCGAAAACTCATAACTCCATGAATAACTTTAAATGTTAATCAATTAATAAGGAAAAAGAGTAGAACATCTTTATCTCTTATAATTCTGTTGTCAGGTTTTGTCTGCTTAATTTTTTCTTCTCTTTCGAATTATGGTTTTGATTAAAATAAAAAAAATTTACCCTATCTTTTGCAATTTGAAAATCGGCCGAAACGTTTAAAAAGTGCATGTAATCAAAAAGTTTCTTGATTCTCAACATCATAGAAAGAAGCTGATTTTTTATCCCTTACATCCCTTTCTTGTCCCGGCGTGATTGTAAACATTAATGTTCCCAGAAGTGTATGATTTTCATTCCTATGTATAACCAAATCTTTTTTTTATTAATCATATTTTTTTACCCATTAGAGCTTACCATGAGATTTAGGGCCAGGGAACCCAGTGACATTTCGGTAAAAAATTATGTATAATTCTGAAAAAATGCAAAAGTACGATTAGTACTGTGGTCTAACACCCAGGAGCTACATTCACCTTCCCTCCATTTAAATTCTTTTGAATTAAAAACTTTTACAATTGAAAACCCTGGTTATTTAAATGCTTTATGTAAAAGTGAAAATAAAATCAATGATATTTTTTAAAGCCCAAAAAAGTTTAAGAGAATGATATCTTTCAAAAATTCTTTGCAAACTAGATAAAAAGCTCTGACAAGATAATGTTTTCCCTTGAATTCAGGGGCAAGATAATTTGAAAAACTAGTTAGTTTTTATTGTTGTAATTTTCCAATAAACTTCAAAAAGCTATAATTTTTTATTGTATTAACAGAATTACTCAATTAACCAAGTTTTACATCCTCTCCCCCCATTCTTAAACATCCCTCGCTAAATCCTACCTCCCCCCTTGTGCTGCAAACAGTCGGTTTAGAAGATAAAAGAATCCTGGTAAATTAATCTTCTGAGTAAAGAAATCTATTAAATTAAACAAACAACTGAAATGCAATCAACCCTACTTTATCTTTTTTTCGGGATTTGCTACGTAATCATTGAATTTAAATCTGTCAAACATTCTTAATAACTTCAAGTCGTTAAATTAGAAATGTTTATTGCTTTAGCTGAAACGTTACACACAGATCTTAGAATTTTATCTGACTTCTAGAATTTTTCTTATATATATCTTCTTTTGAATCAAAACTGTTATTTTGTCTAATTTAATTAGGGTTTTTGATACAGGCACTGCTGGAAGAAATCCCAATATTGAATTTACCGAAAGCATGTTTTTAATTTTTTTGACAAAACGTACGTAATTTCGGATGCTTTTGAAAGTCAGCTAAACAATACTTTTTTAAGTTAAGAGAATTTTTACAATTTTTGTTAGATAAATTGAGAAATTTTCATAATAATCCTGAAATGTCATGTCTCAAGAGTCAAGATAAGTAAATCAATCTTAAGATGATTTTTAGTGTTCCTATCTGCCATGCAGTCACTGTTTACTTAATGAAGGACAAGGAATACATCATAATTAGGTAGAAACTTTTATTATATCATAATTAAAACCTTCATTATATTATAACAAAAAGATTCATTATAAAAACAAGAAGGCAACAATTTTATGTGTTTTGAATCTTGGGATCAAGTATTGATCTCCATCACATACAAACCTACGAGTTAATTCAATCCTTTCCGATAGGGTGTACGTGAAGGTCATACCCTACAGAAATAACTTTAATTCTGAGGGACCAAGCACACATCGAGATCTAGAGTTTAAGATTAACGATACTTCACACAGATGGCAGATTCTATTCGAATAATTAAACCCGGAATTTTTTGTAATTTATAGTACTAGGGTTTTAGGGCGCTTCGCGCCCATCTTCTATTTAAATTGTGAACATGTTCTTTTTGTTTACATTTAAAAAAGAAGAAAAAAATTTTGCGGATTTTTAAAAAAAATTCGCGGATTTTCAAGAAGTTAATTTTTTTTACAAAATTAAAAACCTTTAAAACACATCTTTTAAAAATTTTTATCATTAAGAAACCTTCCCTGGGAAAACGCGAGGTGCCACAAAAAATTTTGGCCCGATAGGTTCAGTCGTTTTGACGTTTATTGGATACAAACAGACAAAAAGACAAGCCAAATTTATATATAGATAAATAGTGCCTCGCTTTCTTGATGTTATAATTATAACTTATTAATTTTTCTTATAATTGCGAAATTTTTTAAAGCAATTTAGGTTTGCAACAAACTTAAATTTTCTAATTCCCACATCTTTGAAACCTGATGGTGTAAAGTTTGCAACAAGTTTTTTCCCGCTATTTAAACAAATTGGTTATACCAAAAAGATTTTAAAAAGCGGCCTGAATTCGTAATAAATCGAATTAACCGTTTTGAATTTTCTTGGCAAATACATATAACATAGCAACTATCTACGCTACTCAGTTCTAAAAAAGTTATATCGACTTAAATTAAAATATCTGTGGCCGAATTTAAAGAATTTGAGCGGCGGTTTAAATTTAAGCCGCGGTTTAAATATGGTTGGTTCCACTTAAAATTGGATCAAATGTTTCAAAATTTAAGCCGGCGCTGAATTTAAACCGGGGTTTGGCGGATTTAAACCGCGGCTCAAATTCTTTAAATTCCATCTCAGTTTGACAAAATACAAAACAATTCTCCCGTTAGAATAGGTTTTATAGTTCACAGTAATTCCAGTAATAAAGGGACATATGGTATTTATTGATAAGTATGTTTAAATGTCAATTTTATTTTTAAGCAAAAAGGTTTTAATTTACAATTTATTCAAAGTAAAGGGATAGTTTGAAATCTATTCCTTTCACTTATAGTAATAACAAAGTTTCTGAAATATTGAACAGAAATTAAAGCGGTTCTGTTAACGATTACGAGGGGTGGAGAGCTCCCTGATTTCCTATAAACTAAGAAGTTGTTAAGACTAAAGATTGGTTTGATGAGTTTGGTTAATAATATAATGTTAGATGATTCTACATGTTTCCATAAACATTGGACTTAAGTGATGTATTGGATCAACGGGGAATTTTATTGTGAATACAATTATAGTTGTTTTGTACAATGATACTTAGTAATTTATTTATGTAATTAGTGATTTAATAAGGTACTAGTAAAGCTAATTGCTTTAATCAACAAAATCAAATGTGTAGTAAATGCCCTACTCCATAAGGGTCTCTCAAACCCGGCCGTATCAATTCAGGTACAACTCAACCCTTCTCGTTGTTCTATGAGGTATCAGTTAAACAAACTCTTCATTATAAATGGCAAACACTGGCATGATCTTGAGCTATCAATGTTAAACAAGGACACGATCTCGTAATCTATCACTGCTAAACACGGGCACGATCTTGAGCTATCAATGTCAAACATGGACATGATCTCGTAAACTATACATACACCGACACAAGCTCGTAAACTATCAACGCCAAACACGGGCACGATCTTGAGCTGTCAAACACCGACACAAGCTCGCAAACTATCTCAGTTGTCTGTCTTACAAGATACTTTACACAAAATCAATTCTCAATCTAGTTCTATATTTCAAGAGAGTGATTCAGAACGCTTCTCGGTCGCTAACCAAGAGGTAATTATCTCTCACACTCTAATCAAAGCGGAGTGTATCTTCCAACTGACGTATATTCAGATATCTATGTTACAGGTTAAGTTTATGTACATATTTGCAAGATTAGCGCGGATATAAAGAAGCGTAGTTAATCCAATCACTTAAGTAGTTATTAGCTAATTACGATACAGGTTTTGACATATTTACAGACGTAGCTAGGCTAGGTTAATCGCATTACAAGTTTTGCGTAGGTAATGGTAAGCGCATTTAGATTTAAAGACATTGTACAACGGAATATATCTAGGTATGTTCAGGTTACCAAATATGGGGATTGCCACGTTATTTGCTACAAAAAGCACTTCATTATTCCTTAAATGTCATCTTTCTTTTTAACAGTTTTCTATTTGTCTTTATATCACTTCTGTATGTCGAGTTCATTAGCGCCTTAGCCAATCAGGGTTCAGTCATGTGTTTGTTGTCTATTCTGAACCAATAGACATAGTATGGCGGTAATATCTAATCTATCTCTCCATCTATCTCATCATGTAATTAGAGATATGAATCCTTCAATCGGCGCTATCAGTAAATGGAAATATTTACTTCTACAGAAACTACAGTGGTATCTCAAAGCAGTTATTATAATCCTGGTCCTGGAGTTTCAAAAACATTGTCTTTTATTTTTTGTTTTCATTTTCGTTTTCTTATCTCTTTTTTCTCTATTATTCTGCTGCACCCTTTAAGCTTCTCTTGTGTTGAATGAAGTGGAAAAACACTTGATTGGTCCATTTACTGGTAGAGTTGAACCTTGTAACATTTATATTTCCGGGTCCAGTCCTTGCAAGGTTTTATACTAGAGCTCCTGGCATCGGATTCGGATTCTAGAATAGAATTTCCAGGAATTTTCTTGTATCATCCACAATCCTTACACCAGGAAGGATTTCTAACGTTCAAATTTTTTTTTACATGCTAAATTTTTTATTGATAAAATGTTGTCATACTCGGATTTTAGGTTTTACGAACTTTTATTAAAATAATTCTTATCTATTCAAAACGAAGTGGAGCTATGTAAATGAGTTAATGAGTAGCAAAACGCTCGTGGGATTTCCAAAATGTGTTCAGCCACACGTGAAGAATCGACTGAGAATTCGTTAAAATGTTCCATAAAAAACAAAACCGGTTCGGAATGTTTAAATATCTTAAATCTCTGACAGTTTAATTGATTCAAAGAAGGAGGCTAAATTTTACCAAGCTTAAAATATTTCCTACACTTCATTGACAATACATATAATAAAATATACTACAATCGAAAACCGGAGCTCCAATGGTATCTCTAGATAAAATAATTAAATGTTTACTGATAACATTCATGTGAACAGGCAATGCAAATATCTTCATACATTGAATATGATACGGTGGTAGGCGATTATATCAATACAATGAAGACGATTTTTTGTTTAAGTTTTTATTGTTAATAAGCCTTCTTAAATTATTATTTTACTAATAGTTAAAGAGAAGCTTTTTTAATTGACAGCTTCTCTTTGTTTCCATGTTTTTGAGTATTACATACTGTTTAAAGTTTGATATAAATTAAAATTTAAATCGAAAGTTGTCTTCATAATATTATTGATATAATCGCCTACAAACGTATGAAAAAAATATATGCTTACAAATATTACCGTAGAACTGTCTCAAGTTAATATGAAAAAAAAGTTTTTAACCATCTTAAGATCAGTCTATGTTAGTTGAGAAATCTGTAGAAGGACTTAACATTTATAACTCCAAAGTCCAAAGTCCCACTTTTCTGTTTTCATTTTGTTTTTGTTCTTTCATTATTTGATCTACCTAAGGAATGATTTAAGAACATGCCATTATTTTGAGACACCTTATATTGCGGATA